ATTCAACAAAATCAATACATAATTATAGGAGATACGCACAAAACCCCCCCCCCCCCCCCCAAAACCCCTTTTTTCCTTGGATAACCAGTGGTATCCAGGCCAGCTTGCTAACACCTCGACTAATTCCACTCAGGCCAGCTTGCTAACACCTCGACTAATTCCACTGGACAGACCTCGACTAATTCCACGCAACACACGGGATATCTGCTACCTCCCACCAACACAGGTATCAGATAACTATTAACCCCATTACACACACTAATAAATTTATCAAAAAAAACTTATCTATACACAACAAATCTAGTCTACCAAGCACTTTAACAGATACACAGAATGAACACATCAACACCCAAATGCAAAAATTAAAAAAACACGTATATATACAAAATGAGAAGCTTAGAGATAAAAAGAAGATATACCCAAGTCAGAAACTGAGGGATCTGAGAGAATGATCCTCCTAGATTCAATTTTTCACGAATTCCCAGAAAAGTTTTATAAAGAAACTACAAAGCTATGGACCTGTATGTATATGCACGCATATACATACAGATTTTGATGTCTGTCTTAGTCTCTTTGGGAAGTGAGAAACCAACCGAGGCAGAGGGAGAAGTATAACAGCTGAATTTATATCATAAGATTTTGGTTTGAGGTATTTATAGTTGTAATAAGATTATTTGTAATCCCAAAACAAAAACAAAAATGAATATAAATATGAAGTTACAGTTTTACCCCTGATATTTCTGACTTTGTGGGTTGATTTGTTTGAATTTTATGGTCAAACATATCACTACATGTCAATTCCAAATTAACTATGATAAGTATTAAGTACTATAAATCATTTTTTTATTACACTCTAACAGAAATATGCATGATTCATTATAAATAATTTTTTCGCAGGATTTTAATTTACTTTTTTTTTTAATTATCAATACACCTTAATTCTAAATTCTCGTATTCATCATAAAATTCATGTACTCATCATAATTAAATTTTCTAGTTATACTAGTTGTTAATTTATTATGATTCTTTTTTCTTTATTCAAGTTAGATATACAACAATAATAACAACCCAGTAGATTTTCATAAGTGGGTCTAGGGAGGATAGGATATACGCAACTTTACTCCTACACCGGGGAAAGCAGAAAGACTGTTTCCGATAAACCTCAATTATATTTAAGTTAGAGATAAACTATATTGTTTTAAATCTTACATTATATGGAACTATTTAATCTCAAAATTGGAAAATGGTAAAAGCAAAGGATGAGTAATGACTAATGAGTTGAAAAAGTGAAGAAGGGGGTGCTGAATTTGATATGAGTTGGGATTAGGACAAATTTATGCACTCTTTGAAGAGTAATAAATGTGATGAGGCTAACAACTACTATGACTTTTGCAAAACGTCTTTGTTGCTTTGCTAGTGAGAAAATTACTTCTTATCGTTCAGTACAAAATGGATTCCTTTTTTGGGAAATTTGTATTTAATGGTCTTTTCTTCTTTACCTATTTAGATGTTTATTTGCTCAATGAAAAAGGGGAAAAAAGTGTAAATATAAATGTCAAAGAGAAATAGTCAAAGGATAAATACCTCTATCAACCTCAAAAGGAAATTAATAATTAGAGAAAAACTTTCATGGTAAAGTTCACGTACTTTTGTGGTTGTTATACCTTATGCTTTGTTGACTTGGAGGTGAACAACATTCAAATTCATTAAGAAAAAACATTGTAATGTTTGTTATTTTGAAATTAAATTATATTT